ACCAGTTGAAGTCTCCGGGTGCTCCTCAAAGGGAGCCCCATGTAGAGGGCATTGCAGTAGTCCAGGCGGGAGGTGACGAGAGCTTGAGTGACCGTGCGCAGAGCGTCCCGGTCCAGAAAAGGACGCAACTGGTGGATCAGGCGAACCTGATAAAACGCCCCCCTGGTCACGGCCGACAAATGATCTTCCAGTGTCAGCTATCAATACATCAGGTCCAATGTAAACATCAAATTGTTAAAGGTTCTGCTTTCCTCTTCTAAACCATCTCATTATTCTATGACGGTTGTTTAGCTCGAAGTGAACCTCTGTCTTGCTTGGTGGTTTGCAGTGTCTAAATCCTGCTGCACAATGAATTAATTAAAAGTGTGAGGACAATCTGCAGAGCAAAATAGGCTCCTTCCTTCTGCGTAACTGCAGGAAAAATGACAAAAGGAATGGACCACAGAGAGATTGAATTAAAGCAGCCCCTTGCATTACTCATCCTCTTTCTCAACAATACAGCTAGATTCTGGCCTTGGCCAGGCAACTGATGATTACTATTTAAAAGCCCAGAAGTTTGCAGGATAATTTATAATTTGTGTTGGTGCTCTGAAGTTCAGATGAAAGAGAATTGGTTGCAAAAACCAGAATTTGTGTCATGTGATATAAAACTGATAGGAGAAAGAGGTCTCCCTCCCCACCCCCACTCACAGTTGTTCCAGCTTGTAGCAAAAAAAAAAATTAAAGTATAACTTTGAGGGAAATCCATTAAGAAAAATAGTTTTGTAGCTGAAACACATACAGTACGTGTTAAATTCCACACAATTAAGGAAAAAATGTACCAATAAATGCACAAATGTATACAAAGAACTGTGAAAACCAATGTAAAAGAAATAAAACATTCATGGTTCTTGGCTGCCCCAACTCTCTGGAGTCTAAAATATGCTATTGGGAGTTTGAATAATATTTCATCTGTAGTTGAATTTGTGTAGATAAAGCATGGGAAACCCTCAGCGCTCTCCCCCAAATATCATGCAAAGCAGTAAAAATAACTGTTAATTTTGCTTCATCAGGTTAATCAAGAGAACAAAATTGGCTTGTTTTCTCCTCAAAAGAGATGTTCACAGGCAGTATGTTTGCCTTCCCTTCAGCCACCATGTCAGTAGCATTTTGATCTGCCCAAGATGCAATGATACCATCCATGACAAATAATCTTCCAATCTCTATTTGGTTATAGTTAAGGAAGGAAGAATCCTGATTTTCTGAAACAGTCTTTCCATTGTTAAACATCTATTCTGCTAAGAAGTATGTTTTCATGTTTAGCCAAAACCTGCTTCCTTTGCAAATTCCACACAGTAGTTCTACTTTAACTTTGGGATAGGTTCCAAAAGATATGTCTACTGTTTGTGATCTGTTTATCTGTAACAAAAAACAGAGAGCAGTTAATACATAGGAATGGAGAAGAGAGACAGGAAACTCAGTGGACATGCATGCTGAACAGATCATTCCTAACCAAATCTCCTCAGTTTGAAATGGTTCCTGACATGGGCAGCATAGAGGAGCATCTTTGAATGAACTGATGATTGCTTAAAAAAAAAAAAACAGTTACAATTAAGCAATCTATTCACACTCATACTAATTTCTGTGAACATTGGCTCATGTCGTCCTCTAATAATCATTGAATTTTCCTGCAATTTTAATCTGTTTTGATTTTATAAAAATGTTAGATACTGGCAGGAATTTATATTTTCTTTGCTTTGTGCTAAATAATAGCGAGTAAGGTTTCATTTTCTCCAATCCATGATCTAGAATCAGATCTGGACAGGATGCTTTAGACTAATGCTGAGGGGCTGCCACAAAGAAAAGGGGTTCAAATTATTCTTCAAGGCACCAGAGGGCAGGACAGGAAACAATGGTTGGAAAATGACCAAAGAGAGAAGCCACCTGGAATTAAGGAGAAACTTCCTAACAGTGAGGACAATTAACCAGTGGAACAGCTTGCCTCCAGAAATCGTGGGTGCTCCATCACCGGAGGTTTTTAAGAAGAGGCTAGACGGTCACTTGTTTGAGATTGTATAGGTCCTCCTGCTTGAGCAGGGGACTGGACTAGAACACCTTCAAGATCTCTTCCAGCTCTATTCTATTCTTATTCTTATTCTTATTCTAAGTTGGATTATGATAGGTTCTTTTCTCAGCAATTGGCTGACACTAGATCAAACTGAACTTTCTCTTCATAGCCCTTGTTTCATTTCTTGAAAAGTATATTGATTTCCCCAAGACTGCAGTATTCCAGATTTGTTAAGCTTTCTGAAACTGAAAGCTTTCCTGCAACACTGATTTCAAGGAACAGTAAATGGCTTGCTAGAGAACAGTGTAACATAATTAACAATGTTTCATTGTGAAAGCATTATATATACAAGCGATATCATTTTGTCATTCCCCCTGAATATTTTGCTGTAAAATAATTCTAGATGCTCTGACTTTTATAAAAATATTATTTAATATATGTATACATATATTTTCTAAGACCTGTTGAAGATGTTGTGGAATTCTTGGAGCTTGTGACCCAGGGGCTACAGCTGAGGGCCAAACACTCAACCCTTGTACACACTGATTCATCTCGTTCACACCTTGTGATAACTTTGACAGTAACCATCAAGGGTTCCTCAGAGGATGATTTTGGTAAGAAGCTTGTTTAGGGTATACTTTTAATATATATATATAAAAAATAGAACCATAATAAGATTTCATGTGTTCGTATGATTTCATGAAGTCCTCGCTCATTAACAGTAAGTAGGATTGGAAACTCTGTCGCTAAGCTTAACAGTTGTTAAGCATGACATCATTTGGCTGCACCACTTAGTGATAGCAGTTCCAGAAGTCTCGATTGCTGTCATTAAGCAAGGACTATGCAGATTGTTATGGGAAGATATCATGTGACTATGACTTTAAATTTCTTGCTGGCTTCACCATTGACTCGGGCGAATTGCAATCACAATTTGGGACTGTGGGATGTTGAGATGTAATTGTAAGCCAGTCAGCAAGTGCCAGAATTGCAATCATGTGATTGTGGGGACTTCGCAACAGCTGCAACTATGAGGACTAGTCATAAGTACCACATGTTCAGCAGCATTATGACTTTGAACAGTTGCTGCACAAGTACCATTAAATGAAGACTGCCTGCACTCTGTCCCTTTGCTGCATGTCGTGTGGTAAACACTTATAAAAGTAGGGGGGGGGGACCTTGCTGTATGATGGCATGATGCTGCTAACAGCATTTGAGCCTGTAGACGCCTCTGAGATTTCCTAAAGGCTGGAACAGTGGAGACAATATATAATTCCTAAGGAATACTTCCCATACCCCAACAACAGTGCAACAGAATGGCCTTGCCTACATATATTAAACTCTGTTAGTGGAGTTATCTTCAAGAGGACTTCCCCTACTGATCTTAACAATTGGTCCATATTTGGAGACTAGATTCCTTAGATAGTCAGACTCTTAGCCATTTATGGCTTTAAAGTTCAATTGTGCCCAGTAAACAATTGGCAAGCATCCATACCTTTTGGGCAGGCATCATATTATCCCTGTGTCTAGCCTTTCATTATTAGACTAGCTGTAACATTTTTAGCCTTAGGTCTGCAGGTCTTTAGAAATAATCCAAGCCTATTGTATGTTTAATTTTGCAGGTTCAAAATAAACTTTTTTTTCCTTATTTTTGTCCAGCTGCTCCCTGGACAGGTGACCATTCTAATCCAAAGCTGGGTAAAGAACATTTCTTCACTTCTGCTTGCTCTTCTAGAGCTTGTTCACCAGCACAGCTTTTCAGGGAATCTGTGGAGAGACAGAAGGAAATGAGAACAAAACTTCAACTGGTGGATTTAGCTGGTAGCGAAAGTGTTGGTAAGTTAGTCTTTTGGAGCAAAACCATCCTATGCTTGTGAAGAGATAAGCCTAGTTGGCATTTAGCTTCCAAAGGTACATGCAACATATGGACGCTCCAAGGATCACATCAGAAATCCATCAGATTAGATTTTTGATGTCAAGCTGGTAAACGGGAAGAGGCAATGCTTGAGTAGCCCCAAAGCAAATTTATTTTTGTATCAGTGGATAGGAAAAGATCAGGGGTGGGGGAAAAAGGCTCTCCCCCTCTTTTTTTGTTCTGAGGTTGAAGTTAACATAAAATTGCTTTGTTAAGTCTCTTGGAAGTTTGACATTTTTCTTCTATTTCTTATTTTGGTAAGAAACCCACTGAAAATGTCACCACCTTTATTTAATAGTTAGAAGCCAATTTAAGCACCATGCTTGTGAGGAGGCAGACAAAGGGCTGCTGCCGGCTATTGCTGTAGAATATGTTCACTTTGGTTGCTTAATATTTATGCAATACTTATTCTCCTGAAAAAAGTCAGAGTTCCAAACTCCTATTTCTTTTTTTGACAAAGCTTCAAAGTGAGTGTACTGATTTTTTGTTGTTGTTGTTGTTGCCTCATTAAAAATTAAGTTACGCTGGTGGTACACAAATGTTAGAACCCTGCTAACAATTTGCCTGACCTATCTTTACTGTCCTCTACAAGCATCCATGCATTGCTTTACTCTAAAAAACAAAATAAGGGAGTTGGCCAAGAACACTACATTTCGTGACCTTTGAATATTTAGTATTCAGTCAGCTATAGTGTGCTGGTACCCCACTGCATGACGGCTGGAATAAGCTGGTATAAAAAGCTCCCATGGCTATGTGAAGCTTTCTTAATGCCAGTCTATAGAATCTCATACTATCTGCCCATTCTCTCTTCCTGCCCCCCCCCCAAACGGCCAGCATTTTGAGTTTATTGAATGGTCAACCTCAACCTCAAATCCCATTTTTGGATGGTTTTCTTGACTCAAAACCTTTGGCAAATCTTAGCATTCTTCTATCCCTGCTAATACTTTTCTTGACAGGTGGTTAGTTGGCTATATAAGGACAGTCACCCATGAAATCAGCTCATTTTTCATATATATATATACTAGTCCCAATCTCTTCATTTGGAAATGCAAGGGAGCTTCATGGATGAACAAATCACCCCAATAAGTTAGCTTTCCAATTCCTCAGCCATTATGCCCAGCCAAGGAAGCTATGTTTACGTTACTGCTAACAATCCTGCTGTACTAATAGATTTACTATGTTAAACCCATTAAGAATGCTTGCATCTTAATATTATGCTGTTTAAGCAGAAATGTTTGATATAGGATCTTCTGCCATGGAGAGGGGGGTGGATGAGAATACCTCCAAGGTCACTTCCCACCCTATTATTCTATGTTCTGTGTAAATATGCCACATATTTGTTAAAACACACTTAATTTGTAAAGACCTAGTTCTCTGGAGAAGACTCTAATGCTGGACAAGATGGCAGGAAAAAGGAAGACAACAACCAGCAGAAAAGTAGATGGATTCAGTTACAGTGTCAGTGAGTTTTGGAAGACCTGAAGGACCAGATTAGGGACAGGCTGTCATGGAGAAATCTATCTCTGTGGTCACTAGGAGTTGAAAATGACATGATAACACATAATCAATTAGTATAAATAAATTTTTTGAGTCTCCTTATGGAAAAGAATAGTAGGAGGAATATTAATGGTTTTTATAAACAATTTTCTGTTTTCTTTGGCTTCTACCCTTCCCAAATGTTTTCTTCCTTTTTTAAAAACACAGGGTTTTTTTCTCCCCACAAATTCTGATCATTTCCTAAAGTACAAGCTTCCTTACCAATAAAAGCCACTTAGTTAAATGTAACCTTCCAGAAATAATGTTTTGAAAACTGAACCTAGGTTATAAAAGCACACTTTTCTTGCCTGCCAAGTGCTCTTTTTTTCTGGTCGAGTAAATAGTGAACTTTAAAAAGAACTTTTAACGTTTGCTTTTTACACCAGAATGCAGTTGAACCATATTATACATTTCCACCATTTACTGATGAGAATCATTTGATGGTCTGTTCCTATGAAAATCCAGATCTTGGTGGGAAGTATCATATGGCATCATTAACTGCAGGGATTAATACCAATTTACCTATATTAACATTTACGTAATAAATAGAGTAGCATAGTAATCCTAAACACATTTATTCAGAATTAAGTCCAGCTGTATTCAGGGGATTTCTGTCCCAACTCCATGTTGGGATTGCAATTGTGCTCTTAATTAGGATTATAGAAGGAGTTTGCTGAAGTGATAAAGAAACATTTTATCTCTCTAACATTGAGAACGATCTTAGCATGCTTTTCTCTTATCACAAAAAGTGTCATATTGTGGATACACTTTTACTATAAGTTGAATTTCAAAGCTGAATAATTTATTTGAATTGATCATTAAACTATAAGAATGTCACATATGTTTCATCAGCAATTTTTGTGCTCAGTGATTCCTTCATGTGGTAAATGCTGGCTTGATTCAGTTGGGACATAGTTTGATTGAAGCTGCCCAGAGTTTAACATAACATGGGCAGCTATGTAAATATCTTAAATAATATTTATGACGGAATTTTTATTACTCTGAACTTGAAGATACGTTTTTTTATATTTTTTTTATTAGACACGAATAAAATCCAAACATGTTAGGGAGTGTTAAATTATCACAATGGAATGGTCGTTTCACGGAAGATTAGTAATAAATATAATGGAAAAGAAATATAACCATAGATATATAGAGTTCGTACAAAATTTCACAACTGTGTTAAAAAAATGTCTTTTTTCATCAAAAACAATTCAATTCCAAAGTGAGGAGAAAGGTGGTTGCATGTGTAAGCTTTGCATGGATCACTTGCATTAAGTTTATATATCTTTTATTACTTAGATTAATCTTGTACTAATCTGGTTCTCTTTAAATATGACGACATTACACTTCTCAGACTACAATTAGCACATATTAAGCAACATAGTCATTGATGTCTAGGACTTCTGGGAGTTGAAGTCCCATAGAAAGGGCATCTGCCTTAGAAAAGTTGAAGCAACTCATTTCATAGATTTTAACAGGGCCCTGAAAGTGCTTCTCTATTCTGATGGTATGGATTATATGTTTACTTCTTCAACCTTGTGTAAAGCCAAAGTATAAATCAATAAGTTTATTTATAGTTTTTAGTATTTCCTGCTACACGTTTTCTTCAGTTGTATTCATTTCTTGTTCATTGCTTGTTTATATGTTGTTGTGCCATTGTGGACTCTTAACCATCACATAGATAGACTTTCTCCATGATGATTTGTCCCTAACCTGGTCCTTCAGTTCTTCCAATGGTGCACTCATCACTACTAAAACTGAATCTATCCACCTTGATCATCATCTTCTCTTTCCTTCCACTTTTCCCAGCAGTGGAGATCTAGGTCTTCTCATAATATGTCCAGAATAGATAGTTTGAACCTGGTTATTTGTACCTCGAGTGAGAGCGCTGGCTTGTTTTGTTCAGTGGTATGTATGTTTGTTTTCTTGGCTGCCCACAGTATTCTCAAGAATTCTCCAACTTTTTGTCCAACAAAACTCAAATGTGGCATATGCAGGAACTAGAAGTATGAAATTATGCAAAACATTTACTTTTATGTTCATGTGTGGGTTTTTTGTGATTATTGTACTAGGTATGTCTGGTGTAACTGGGTCACTGTTGAGAGAGACCTCCTTCATTAATCGCAGCTTGTCTGCTCTAGCAGATGTACTTGGAGCCCTATCAGAACAGAACTCTCACATTCCATATCGAAATAGCAAACTTACACATTTGCTACAGGATGCCATAGGTGAGTATAGCTTGGTACAATGTAATACTTATACTTATTTATATACCTCTTATTAATACAATTAATTAGTATTTCTATACCAATTTTCAAATGTATAGTTGATACAGAAGTGTGATTTCAAGAAGCGAAGGTGACTTTAACAATAGGATGCTAAATCCTTATTTTAAGCAAGGAGAAATACTAGATTCTCTAGCTGTTCATTTTTTTTATTTTTCTAGCAAGATTCCTACTATTTGACTATGTCACATGCATATTGTAAAATGAGATGGTTACCAGAATGAAAGAATAGCCCTTCTGGATCAGACCAAGGCTCATCTGAATCCATTGTTGTGTTTCTCACAATGGCCATAACAGATGTCTCTGGACTGCTCACAAGCAAATTTAGATGAGAGCCAGCTTGGTTTAGTGGTTAAGGAACCAGGCTAGAAAGCAGGGGACCATGAGTTCCAGTCCTGCCTTAACCTAAAAGCCAGCTTGGGGCAGTCACTTTCTCTCAGCCCAACTCAGCTCGCAGGGCAGTTGCTGTGGGAAAAATAAGAGGAGGAAGATGTGTTGGATATGTCCGTCACCTTGAGTTCTTTGTAAAAAAATAAGGAAGCTGGAGTACAAATAAATAAATAAATAAATACTCCTTTCCTATTCTCCCCTACAACTGGTATATGGAGGGATACTGCCATCAGTCAGAAAGAATATTGAATTCTTTAGACCAGTGGCTCTTGACAGATGTGTCCATAAATGTATCCAGTCTGCCAAGTTAGCAATGTATTGTGGTAATTAGGCACCTGGAGGAAACAGTCTATCTAGACCCGCTCCAGTCGGGCTTCAGGCCGGGATACAGCACGGAAACGGCATTGGTCACACTGGTAAATGATCTCTGGAGGGCCCGGGACAGGGGTCATTCCTCTGTCCTAGTTCTTTTGGACCTCTCAGCGGCTTTTGATACTGTGGACCACGGTATCATGCTGCGGCGCCTGGT